TCCATATTTTCCAACTTCTGACATCACTTTTCCAGAAATGATGTGAACTGTTGTAGCGTCGGAACCGTTTCAAATGGGACAGTTTCTTCCCATTTGGCCTGAGTCGCATTGTGCAATCTCTGCAGCAGCGTATGGATGATGACACAATCGGCGATTTGCTCCGAATTTCCCATTCTATGTAATGCCCGCCGTGCACGTTCAGCTTGTCCGAAAACTCTCGCAATCTGGCAGTCGCACCAACATCAACCTTCTTTAGCCCCAGAACCTCAGCAATGTGTGCCTGAAATATAAGACGGCGGTTATTAAAACGTCAATTAAGCAAATCCAATGTATAATTTTCCGTCAGTATCTCTAAAGAGCGAATCGCATCTAATGCATTGCCCTTGATACACGAGCGTAAATGCTGCAGTTTTTCCACTTGGGTTAGCTCATCAATCATTGCTGAAAAGAGCGACATAAAATCAGCATAATCATTGTAAATGCCGCTGAATGAAGGGCAAGCGAGACCGATTTTGGACCACCATAGTTTGAGTCTCTGTAGTCAAGTCATTCCTCATAGTTGATGAAGAGGGCGCTTGAAACTGGCGCTTCCGTAACTCTATTTCCAGCTTGGCAGCTACAGACGCGGATTTTTTGCGAAACACCTCATGTAGGATGAAGCTACCGTCACCACAGTCGAACTCCTCCAAATTACTGAGCGCGCGGTTAAAATTAATCTCCTTATCCTCGAGCAGTTTTACAAGATAAAGCAACTCATCTTCTCTCAACGAACCAATTTTGTCATCTTTTAATTCGCATTCCATTACCTTGACTCTTTCACAAAGATATTCACATTTGCGCTTGAAAAATACTACCCGAATTCCAGGCGCAGCCACGGCAGTGGGTCCAAGTTTAATCTGACGCTCACACGGCAGTACAGAAGAATCATCACCATCTATTATTAGTGTAGTACTCTAATACGAATGAAATGTAATGCACAACGAAAACAGAAGTCTCGGTTTGGCAACGGCAGCAACAACAACACGCACTTCAAATGTTCGGACCGAAAATTGTCACTCGCGCCAAACACCGGCATATAAGCAAAGGCGAATGACCGCACAAAGCAACGGCGCTTGCTTGCGGTTTATATGTACAAAAACTATGCGCTTTGTACAGTCACACATACGTGCACTGATGCTGCAGCGGTATGTATGTATGTATGCACACTAACTTTGCACACCTTGGTGCTTAGTTAGTACACCAAATATATATCGTTTTGAGCCACAAATTATGGCTTTTCAGGGTCACCGATTATTTATTGTAAATCAGGTCGGGTGTTCACCAAAATGTTGAGGCACCGAGCATTTTCGGGTGCCTTTTTTAGTCTATGGGTTTTGTCTGAAGCGGATTGATATACACGAATTTAAGAGGCCACCAACTCAAATTGTTGAGCCTTTAAACAATATGCGCAAAAGTAGAAGTGTGTTGTCTCGTACAACAGCACAGCGAGAAGCGTTAGATTGGCACGGAGAATCTACTGTACATAAAATGTACAAGAGTATATTAGGTTTGCGGGAGCTGAAAATGTAACAGGTAGAAGGAGGCGTGGCAGACCCCACAAAGTATATATATTCTTGATCAGCATGACGAGACGAGTCGATCTAGCACTATCTGTCTGTCTGTCTGTCTGTCTGTCCGTATGAACACCTGGATCTCAGAGACTATAAGAGCTAGAGACACCAAATTTTGCACAAAGATGCGTTATATGTGTACGCCCCCCCCCCCCCCCCCCACATTTCACCACTATGGGGGTTTTCCCGATTTTCCATTCGTATAATCGCCTATATCTCGGAGACTATAAGACCTAGGAACACCAAATTTTAGTCCCAGATGCCTTATGTGAATACGCAGAAAATGTTTATTTTGGAATTTCCCTATCTCCCCCCTCTCCCCCGCAAATGCGATTTCTCTAACTCCCGTAATTCTTGGAATTTCGAACTAAAATTTTGCAAATGGCCCCAGTTAGTTATTATGTGTCCGTATGCCAAGTTTCACTATGATAGACCGATTTAACAAGAAGTTATAGCCATAAATATATTTGCTGCTGCAGCGCTGCCCTCGGCTGTTGATGCTGGTGCTTTGGTTGACTGCACACATGTTTATACAGACACGAATAGATGCGAATAGGCATACATACACTCACACAGACGCAATTGCTATGTAAATGTGCAATTATACACCCTTTACGTGAGTTCGAATACCGAGAGAGGTAAAATCGATAAATTTTTTTTTTTTTTTCTTAATTTTTTTGAATTTCTATAATTATTGTAAACATATGTACAGGGTATTTCAGGGTATACATACATATATATATATATATATATATATATATATATATATATATATATATATATATATATACCCGTAAATGCGCGCCACATTATTCAACTGGGTGATCCAATTGCGTACATTGGACCCCCCTGGAATTCCAAAAGTATTTCTTTCGCGAGCTTAAGCGCTGCAAAAGGCCATTCACCCTCTCTGCCAATCACTTGTTGACTGACAGCTGATATAGTGTCAGTTGCTGCATCTGGCATCTCTCTACCGTTCGTGTCACGGCCCTCATTCATAGCTGTGACAACAGCTGCCTGCTGCTGCACGACAGCAACGTTCGCCTTTGATTTGAAAATGCTGCCGCTAACGCCGCCAGCATCCTCGCCGCTAACAACGCAGTCGCGCCCAGCGCAGCCGTCATCAGCGTTGTTTTCGACGCCGCCGCCGCTGCTGACGCCGTCGATCACGCTGGCGCCAGCGTCGCCGCCACTTTTGCCGTCACTTTTGTCGCTATTGGAGTCGATACTTGTGTCGCCGCCGCTCTTGCCGTCATTGATGCCGATGTTGATTCCGTTAGGAATTTCGCTTTGCCTTTGAACTCGCATGGTTTCTAGCAACTTCTGGGAAGTTGCTATTCCATCATGCAGCTGTCTCAGCAGCGCTGCGCCTTCCAACAGTTGTTGCTGTAGCATGTCGTCCAGCTGAATAATATCGCCCTGTAGAGCCTGTGCACCCTGCATGTCTTGTTCTTAGAGAGAGCCCCCGCCATCGCTGACACTTTCCGGAACCGGAGGGCAGCCTCGCATCTCCTTTGGCACATCGTTCAAACGGGCCTTTGTCGGCAACTCCAACGCTGCTAGCCACTTTTTGAGTGTAGCCACGGACAAACTGGTACCCGCAATGTCGTCTTCCATAAGTACTGTTTTCAGAATATGTATATGCACGATTGGAAGCTTGTAATTCGAACCACTTCTAATATTGTGGAAGACAAAAGAATGTAACACAAAATAAAACACTGACGGTGTGCCAGAATCGTAACAAAATGTCTTATTCACTCGATCCTCGATTATCGCTGCTCGCAGGCAGCTCTCTTGCAGCTCGCAGGCAGCTCTCTTGCAGCTCGCAGGCTTGCTTTACCAACGAGAGAGTATTTACCGTTACAGTAGTGAGAGACTGCGGCATGAGAGAGCAGTGCTACCATATGGGTGAGGCCACAGGCCTGCCACAATATATATATATATATATATATATATATATATATATATATATATATATATATATATATATATATATATATATATATATATATATAGGGTATATATATAAACCTTGAAATACCCTGTACATATGTTTACAATAATTATAGAAAATAAAAAAAATTAAGAAAAAAAAAAAAGATTGATCGATTTTACCTCTCTCGGTATTCGAACTCACGTAAAGGGTGTATAATTGCACATTTACATAGCAATTGCGTCTGTGTGAGTGTATGTATGCCTATTCGCATCTATTCGTGTCTGTATAAACATGTGTGCAGTCAACCAAAGCACCAGCATCAACAGCCGCGAGCAGCGCTGCAGCAGCAAATATATTTATGGCTATAACTTCTTGTTAAATCGGTCTATCATAGTGAAACTTGGCATACGGACACATAATAACTAACTGGGGGCATTTGCAAAATTTTAGTTCGAAATTCCAAGAATTACGGGAGTTAGAGAAAATTGCATTTGCGGAGGAGAGGGGGGAGATAGGGAAATTCCAAAACAAACATTTTCTGCGTATTCACATAAGGCATCTTGGACTAAAATTTGGTGTTCCTAGGTCTTATAGTCTCTGATATATAGGCGATTATACGAATGGAAAATCGGGAAAACCCCCATAGGGGGGAAGTGGGGGGAAGTGGGGGAAAACTTTAATAAGCCCCCTTTGGAGCTCGAATTTTCCATAATCCCTTCTTAGTGCGCATCTACACCATGATATGATACTTGAGCCCAAATTTCAGCATCCTAGCTTTTACCGTGTGGGCTGTGGGCTGTTGACGCGGTTTGCTTTTGTGCCCCAACAGTTTATTACAGAAAAACTCCCATATTTTAGGCTCCAAAAAATACCAAAAAACCAAGTATACAGTTTTTCCTGGAATTGTTCTGAGAGTATACAAACTCAGTTTGTAAGTTAATCAGATGAAAACTGTAGATTTTTCATACAAACGTTGGAGCCTGTTTTCCCCCCTTTGAAGCTAGAGTTTTCCAAAATCCCTTCTTAGTGGGCACCTAGACTATAAAAGGATACTTGAGTCCAAATTTCAGCTTCCTAGCCTTTACCGTTTGGGCTGTGCGTTGATCACCAATCAGTCAGTCAGACAGGACAAACTGGACAAGAACAACCAGAGATGTAATAAGTATATATATATATATATATATATTTATATATATATATATATATATATATATATATATATATATATATATATATATATATATATATATATATATATATATATATATAAATATATATATATATATATATATATACTTATTACATCTCTGGTTGTTCTTGTGCAAAACTTCCCTTTACTTTTTCAATGGCTTATATGCTACGCTTCCCTGCTCCGGGACTCGCATGAATTAACATCTGTTACAGTAAACCAAATAACTAACTAGCAAATAAAAAATTAAAGTAGGTTAGTAACATTTGTGTAGGAGATTATATACGGACTTTATTAAAATACTCCCAAGTTTAATAAAGAATGAAAAGTAGATAAATCCATGTTAATAACTTATAGATAACGATCCCATTTGTCCAATGCAACGTCCTTCTTCATCAAATGTGGCTAGGGTCAATCTAGACAACTTGTTACATAATACTCCATTACCATTGCTTTGAATTGGATTTGGTTCTGCAATAAAAGAAGTGTACAAAATGTTTAATCTTTTTCATTTAATAGTTACTTTACCCTAAAATATATATAATAACGCTGTGAACACATTTTCCCAAATAAAGAAGAAAGGCTATAACTTCCTGTTAAATCGGTCTATCATAATGAAACTTGGCATACGGACACATAATCACTAACTGGGGGGTATTTAAGTTCGAAATTCGAAGAATTACGGCAGTTATGAAATATCACAAATTGCTTTGGAGAAGGGAAGGGAGGGAAATTCCAAAATGCACATTCACATAAGGCATCTGGGACTAAAATTTTGTGTCCTTAAGTCTTATAGTCTCTAAGATACGAATGGAAAATCGGGAAAACCGCCATAGGGGGGAAGTGCGGTGGGACGGACAGACTGGCAGAGGGGCAGAAATGGATGATGAAATACCCTGTACCCAGACAAACTTTCGGCACTGAGTTATATGCGCCCATAGTAAGAGTAACAAGAAAGGAATGCTAAAGTCGAGCAGACTCAACTCTTAAATACCCTGTACCACCCCACAAAAAAGGTAATTAAATTAATTAATTAATTTAATTTAAATAATTAACTAAATTAATTTAATTAATTAACTAAATTAAATAAAAAATATTCCATGCATGCATACATACATTTACATCAGGCTATAACTTTCTTTCCGATCATTCTATCATAATGAAACTTGGTATACGGATATATAATCCTAATGTGACTACCAAAATTTAGTTCAAAATCCCAAGAATTACGGGAGTTATAGAAAATCGTTAATAGGGGGAAGTGGGGGGTGGATCAGAAAAAATGAACAAACTCGTCCTTTCTCGGTCTCAGGAGAATCTGTATACCAAGTTTGGTTATTCTAGCTCTTATACTTTCGGAGATCCCTGCGTTCATACAGACACACAGACGGACAGACAGACAGACAGACAGACGGACAGACAGACGGACATCGCTATATCGACTCGGCTTGTCATGCTGATCAAGAATATATATACTTTGTGGGGTCTACCAAGCCTCCTTCTATGTGTTCCATGTGCACTCGCACAAAACTAATATACCCTTGTACCCTTTGGGTACAGGGTATATCGGGTTTCTATTTTTCTAAACCACTTCTTGGTGCTACCTACACTTTGACAGCTTCTTAACGATTACCATTTGGGCTGTGCGTTGATTGCACATATTTACATACCCACATACATACAGAGAACTGCAACGAGTACTTCATTTTCGGTCATACTCGAGTATTTACCCATACTCGGTATGATTATTTCATTTGGGTATAGTAACAAGCAGTGACTGGTTGCGAACGAGCCCTCAACGAAAACTCAGTTCGAATCAAAACTGCAAAAACTCAGAAGTGAGCGGTTGTGCCCGAAACTTCTTGCATGAATGCAAGCAATGACCGGTTGCGAACGAACGCTCCCCAACCAGTCAGTTCGACTCACAACTGCAAAGACTCAGAATAAGCGGCGGTGACCGAAACTTTTCGCCTGCGTACAAGAAATGATCGAACGTCGTATTTACAATCGACCGAAATGACCAATGATATCGGCGCGTGCACGTGCACTTGCATTTTCTATTGTTTTTTCGGCTATTAGTTAAATAGTAACATCGTTTACAAGTATGTAAATGCATATAAATTAAAGAAGCCAACAAAACTATTAGCGAAAAGAAATACCTTCCTTTTCATTTAAATTAAAAAAGTTATGCTATTTTAATTTATATTAATTTGTTTATTTTAAGATATTTGAGGTCCTTTTTTAAGATATCGGCGCGTGCACGTGCACTTGCATTTTCTATTGTTTTCTCGGCTATTAGTTAAATAGTAAAATCGTACACAAGTATGTAAATGCATATAAATTAAAGAAACCAACAAAACTATTAGCGAAAAGAAATACCTTCCATTTTATTTAAATTAAAAAAAGTTATGCTATTTTAATTAATATTAATTTGTTTATTTTAAGATATTTGAGGTCCTTTTTTAAGAAATAAAATTATGCTAAATATCATAATATAAAAATACATATATGTACACATATGTTTTCTTTTCATTCTGTACCTCTTAATTTAAAATACCTACATACATATACACATGATTGCGCATAATTGCAAACAACACATGCACGCACAAATACATAAATATATACATACATGTATATTTCACACGGTCATACTCGGGTAAAACCCGCGGAATACTCGAGTATTACCCGAGTATAGCTCGCGCAATACCCAAACAATACTCGACCAATAACGGCACTATACTCGTTCGATCAAACGCTCATTCTGCAAAGTCTGGTTTGCTTCGATCAGGACCCAGTCATCTTAAACGAAGTGACCGAGCCTGAAGTGTTTGAAAGCAAACCAATCAAGGCTGGTACCCGTTCGCAACGAACAGAATACTCGAAGTCACCGAGCCTGAACTGTTCGAAAGCAAACCAGTCAAGGCCGGTACTCGTTCGAACCGACCGCAATAAGCTAAGTGACCGAGCCTGGTGTGCTCAAAAGCAAACCAATCTTTCGTAAAAATGGAAAGATTGCTCATGCAAGTTCGATCATAAGAAAAATGCTGAGAGTACTCAACTCGTTCGTGCTAGTTTGCAACCAAGCAAAGATCTGATTTGATTGAATTTTCAAGAAGGGTGGTCGAACATACTCGTTGCAGTTCTTTGATACATATGTACATACATAAAATTTTTTTCGTGCATCAATAAAGCCCCAATGCAAACAAGAAAGGAATGCTAAAGTCGAGCAGGCTCAACTCTTTAATACCCTGTACCACCCCACAAAAAAAAATTTATTAAAAAAATTTAATTAACAGTGTTAACCAGTTAACCATGGACCGATCCTAAGCTCAACCAGTGTCAACACCAGTCCTTTTAGGAAGGCAGCGTCATACCGGTAGGTCATCGACATCGTTGCCCGAGCGAAAGACAGATCAACAACGGCAAAAGAAACGATTTGATGCTCGTGCTCTTTGTTCTTTCGTCAAGGAACAAAAACAAATATTAGACAAGTCTCGTTACTTTTTGCGATCGTCTAATTACACCAACAAGCTTTTCTATTATTTTGCGTTTCCCCTGACTCCGATTGCTTAGTCTTGTTCTGACATTTAGTTTGAAGCCAATCAAATGAAAATTGCAGATTTATCATACAATCTTTGGAGCCCGTTTTCCCCCCTTTGGCGTTCGAATCAAAATCAAAATCTTCTCAGTGCTCACCTACTCCATAAAAGACAACTTTCGTCCAAATTTCATCATCCTAGCTCTTACCGTTTGGGCTGTGCGTTGATTGCACAAAGCTTTTCGTGTCCCGATTTTTCCACGGGAAAATTCCTATAATTATGGCCCAGTAATAGCGAAAAACCAAGCTTACAGTTTTTCTTGTATATAAAGAGTATACAAACTAAGTTTGAAGTACATCGGATGAAAATTGTAGATTTTTCATACAAACTGTAACGACGCACAGCTGCCAGCTACGCAACGCGTCGTCACGATGCCGATGAGTAGTTTTAAGTAGGTCTAAGTAGTTGTAAGTTGAAGGGAGTTTGGAGTTAGTTCTGTTGGAGAGGGAAACGAACACGCATTGAAGCGCACCCTCCTATTTGTTACATTTGGGAAATAAAACACAAATTGTACACACGGCGAGCATCATATTTGAATGGTAACGGCGGGCTCACTTTATTCCTGGGGAACCAAACAAAGAATTTTGCAGCGACTCTGGCCGACGAGTATACACGGGCCAGAGCAACGTTACAAAACGTTGGAGCCCGTTTTCCACAACTTAGAGCTCGAATTTTCCAAAATCCTTCTTACTGCTCACTTTCACTGTGAGATGGATCTTGTGTCCAAATTTCAGCTTCCTAGCTCTTACCGTTTGGGCTGTGCGTTGATTGCACAAAGCTTTTCGTGTCCCGATTTTTCCACGGGAAAATTCCTATAATTCTGGCCCAGTAATAGCGAAACACCAAGCTTACAGTTTTTCTTGTATATAAAGAGTATACAAACTAAGTTTGAAGTACATCGGATGAAAATTGTAGATTTTTCATACAAACTGTAACGACGCACAGCTGCCAGCTACGCAACGCGTCGTCACGATGCCGATGAGTAGTTTTAAGTAGGTCTAAGTAGTTGTAAGTTGAAGGGAGTTTGGAGTTAGTTCTGTTGGAGAGGGAAACGAACACGCATTGAAGCGCACCCTCCTATTTGTTACATTTGGGAAATAAAACACAAATTGTACACACGGCGAGCATCATATTTGAATGGTAACGGCGGGCTCACTTTATTCCTGGGGAACCAAACAAAGAATTTTGCAGCGACTCTGGCCGACGAGTATACCCGGGCCAGAGCAACGTTACAAGTGGCGCCCGAGCAGGGACCCCAAAATAAAGTGAGGTTAAACACGACCGCGACCACGCGGCGAGTTGGAAAACGTAAGGCGAGAATTGTTGACTCGTGATGGTGCGAACGAGCTGGGTACGAGCTGGGTGCGAGCGTTGAGGAAGGAGGAGCTGATCGAGCTGCTGCAGGAGTTTGGGATCGACGACGCGGGCACCGTGGAAACGCTGAGAACACGCTTCGCCACGTTTGTGAAAGCGGCGGGGCCGGAACACCAGTCACGGCTAGAACTGCTAGCGGCCCGCTATGAGAGCCTACAGTCACGTCCGGTGAGTCCTGTACCGCCGAAGGCACAACTGAAGGTCCCCAAGCGAGAGGAAGGTTCGGCTGCGGCATCGCCAAGAACACCGACCGAGCATTCCAAGACACCATCAACGGGGCCATTAGCGGCGACAGCACCAGCTGGGGCTGCACCAGTGACCGTGACCGCCACCACCACCTATACGACAGAAGCGCCAGCGGCGCCATGCGTGACCACGAACCAGATCGTGGCCACGACGGTGGTAACGACCCTCGCCACACCGTCGATGGTCTCGACGGCCGAGCCGGCCGTGTCAACCGCATCCGCGGCTGGTTCGGCCCACTCGACAATGTCA